CTTTAAGTGAGTAAATGAATGCATATAGGAAAAATAAATGAATCTCAGTTGTTTTATTCTGGGCTAAGGTATTGTCATTTTACATAATAAGTTTAATATTTCTTTTCCCTTAATGAGAAGAAAGTCCCACAATTTTACAAGAACCTGAAGTTTTTGTTAGATGAACTTCAGATGGAGCAGATATCCTCATTTTTGATAGCAGGAATTTCATGTTACTTGAGTTTGTGTTCTCCATTTTATCTGGCAACTAGTGCTTCTTGTCAACCAGATACTGGAGAGATCATTTTTAAAATTTGAAGTATATTATATACACAGAAATGTGTACACATTTTAAATGGGCAGTTTGATGAGTTTTACATATCCACAGGGGTATTGTTTAACAACAGAATGTGTCGTTAGGTGACCTCATCATTGTGCAAACAACATCGAGTATACTTACACGGACTAAAAAGAGTACTACATTACCAAGCAGTATAATCACATGAGGGGGCACCATCATCAGAATATCATTCTGATATTCACTTCGGTAACCACCAGCCACATCAAGGAAAAGTCACCCCACATATCTCAGATCACTTCCTGTATCTGGGATTTTGATTGGGACAGCAGTTTGAGGAGACATAATACCTTAAAATGTTTAGTATATGCGTGGTAGAACATTTTTGTCTCTTTATTCTCAAATTTTTTATGGTACTGGAGATTAAACCCAGAGTCTTCTCCCTAATCTAAAATTTCAGCCCTTTATTTTAATGCAGATATTGCTAAATTACCAAATTGCAAAAACTGGATTCAAACTTGTGATCCTCCTGCTTCAGCCTCTCAGAGTGCTGGAATAGAGGCATGAGTCACTACATTTAGCCTATTTTTCACCACTATGCTTGACAGGTGGTATTTCTTTTACTTCTTTCTGGCTCTTTTTAAATTTTTCTGTTTTATCATTTTGTTTCAGCCATCTGACCCTTATGGACCTCCTTGTGGTTTTCCATGGTGTATTCAGTTTCTTGAATTTGTTGCCTAATATCCTTCACCAGCTATGAAAATTTTCTGGCATTTATTTCTTCAAATATTACATCTGGTCCTCTCCCTCTTACCTCTTTTTTCACATTCTGTATATTTTGTATTGATTTTCATTTGAGGCCATTAGTCTGAACTTCTGCTTCATCAAAATATCTTTCAAACTCATCTGCTTACACCTTGATTTAGCAATACAAAAAAATTTGATTTTTCCTTTTAGTGATGTGATAGAAGCCAAGACCATATGTAAATGCTCAGTAGCTAAGCTTTGCCTCCAGCCTCTGATTCTTTTCTATAGGTTCTAGTATTACTCTGAAATTCCCTAATTTTTTCTTTCTTTTGCCTGCTTCTATGGTAGTTCAAATTAGACATTTCTTTGCCCCTATGTTTTATTGTGGGGAGTTACCAGTTACTCTTTTGTGCTTCTTTGTATATCTGGTAAATTTTGAATGTATGTTGCAGTTGTAGAGATTCTAGCCTGCTTTCTTCCTCCCATGAACTTTGAGCTGTGGTCCGCAGGTGGGTAAATCTAAATGCAGCACCTTGAACCCATAAAGACCCAGCTTCAGTTTTCTGAGGACACATCTATCTGAGATTATTATTACTCTTAGAGCCTCATCTTCACATCTAGTGAGTACCTTTCAGGATATCTCAACCAAATGTGCAAGGCGGTTACCAAAGTCTTTCCACTCTTTTTGTACCCAAACTCCAGTATCTCAGAACTATGTGATCTAGAGTATGTCTATTCAGCTTTCAACCTTTCAGCCGCTGGGTTATATCAAGTGTCCAGAATCATGGCCCTGAACGCATGCAGTCTAGGAGTTCAGTCATGGAGTGAATCACCACAGCGATTTCTGAGGCTTCTGTTTTGTTTGCTGTCTTTTGAAATCTCTGATACCTTTGTAGTGCCAAGCTCTTGAACATCCTCTCCAGGGAGACTGAAGGTCTCTGCTTTCTCTCAGTCTCCCACAGTTTCTGTTTAAGAAAAGAAAAAAGTCCAATAGGGAAAAAGGATCAGTGGAAAAAGGCTTGCCCTGTGTGCCTTCCATTACCCCAGATTGTAGCATTATCTTGGTTGCTCTTTTTGGGTGGGGGATACTGGGAATCGAACTCATGACCTTGTGCTGGCCAGGCAGGTTCTTGTGCTGCTGAGCTTTATCCCCAGCCCTGGGTTGCTCTTTATAAATAAAAATATTATGCACTTCAGGTTTTACAGTTGTTAGTTTACAGTAGAAGAATGTATTATTATTTATCTTGCCTATAACCAGAATTTCATTTAATAATTGAAAAATCCTGTAGTTATCCTATGTTTCATAAACCTAAAGTGCAGGATTTCGTTATTTGTTCCAACTCTAGTTTATCTCCTTTATTTTAGACTAACAGGTGTAGGTCAATATTCGTGAGATTTTATTCTTGATGTCTTAAAATTACTACTGCCCTTGTTTTTGCTTATTCTCAATTCCAGTAAGTATCCCTTTGCATTTTCCTCTGAAATATGATTTGATAAATCTGCTGAACAATAGGACACCAAACCAAAAACAAATCCCTTACCATAATCAAGGATGGATCCACTTACCAAGAAACTTGCGGCAGCTTTGTCAAAACTGTTAGTTTGTAGTTTGTTCAATACAAACATTCATGTCACACTTATCTTGTCCATAAAAATAATGGGGAGATTGACTGAAATCAGGAAATAAAATCTGAAATAAAGAAATATAATATTTGTGAGTTTAATTTTATTTCTATTTGCAAAAAGAATTAAAATTAATCTGGTATATTTTTGCTAATTTCCAGTTGGTTTTTTTCCTAACTATTCACAACTTATTTATTTCATGATCTTTTCTAGAAGATTGCCAAGGATCAGTCCCAAACTTAATCATCAGATAGATATACCTTTTGACTTTTGGGGAAGGTAGGACATATCTTTTTGTCTACTTTTTACTCCCACCTATGTTATTGATGATAGTCCTGTATCTCAGGTCAAAAGTGAGTCTAAATAGTGAGACAGAAATATTATTCGAATTCATATTTTCTTAGCTATAAATTGGGCAATTTACTCATTCTTTTAGGTTCCTTTTTTCTCTTTCATTAAATGGGGATTAAATACAGTTATATCTTAAAAATAAAAGAATGAGTAAGCATACTGAGCAATCTCTCCAACCTGCTTTTCATCATTTGATTAAATGTTTGTAATGTACTTCACTCTGAGCTCTTACAGAATATATACTTCATAAACATTAGCTGTTATTCTTGGAATTAACCAATCAAGAAGTCATTCTTTAGTGTCTTAGGAAAACTGGTTCTGGAACTCCCGCATATACCCAAATCCCCAGATGCTTAAGACCTTTACATAAAATGGTGTGGCATTTACATATATCTTGCACAGCATATACTTTAAAGCATCTCTAGGTTATGTTTATTACCTAGCACAATGTAAATGTCATGCAAATAGTTGTTGTATGTATTGTTTAGGAAATAATGACACAAAAAAAATTGTACATGTTCAGTATAGATGCAACTTTTCAAAAACTATTTGCAATTACCAGGTTGTTGAATCCAAATATACAGAACCTATGGAAAGCTGACTGTACTGTTTCTTTGTTTTCAAAATTAGAGAAATATATGAGGACCACAATTATATTTCCAACTGAGAGTTATCCAAACAAATCAGCTCCTATATTAATATCCTTATTCCAGTCCTTGCATGAAACTTACCTAAGCCTGATTGTTTGAATAAAGTAGCCACATGACTTCTCATTAGCTTTCCTCCTATTATTACTCAATTCTCTTTAAGCAACATTTAGTGACTTCTCTCCTAAAATCATTACACCTGAAGGAGGAAGGAACCTGTACTTAAATTTACCACATGTTCTAACTTTTTTTTCTAAAAAGAGCTTATCTTTTTCCTATTTATCTTCTGGCTCAACATAAAATTAAAAATCATTTGTTACTTTTGATAATGTTAGAAGTTTCATTTCATACTGTACCAACTTTACTCTCCCTCCCTTCCATTCATCCTGCAGCTTTGCAAAGTGACACTACTATGTATGCCTTTTCCCTTGTGCTTTTAAGAAAACTTCTGGACTGCTGTGGGCAACCTTGTTTGTAGCTTTGGTGTCTCCGCATTTTCTCCTTATTTAGTTAGCTAACTGTACTGTATAGAAAGCCCTCCCTTCTCCCTCTCCCTTTCCTCCTGAGTTGTATATGACCTTTAAAAGCCCTGGTAGCAAGATTATTTTCTCTGATTAAGAAAGTGTGTGCATGTGTGCATGTGCATTTGTGTGTGTTCACGAGCACCTCCTCCTGCCTGTGTCTTTTTCACGGATGCTTCATTTATTTATTCTAGGGAGTAAACTTCTAGAGGAGGAAAAGCCAAGTCGTCCTCTACTACTGTACATTGTTCTTCGTAAACAGACTCTCACTAAATGTCAAAAAGTACATGCATCAGATGGTCCTTGGGAGGAAGCTCTTCCAAGGGAGAGGTGTACTCTACAGAGGGGTTCATGCACTAATAAGCTGTGCCTGAGGAGTCGACTTCCTTCCCACCCTTCTTTGCAGTCCCAGGAAACTAAAAGAGAACAGGAAACTAACGACCAGCACAATCTGTCCTTGAGGCACTCTGGGCACAAACTGGGACCGCGTGAGGTCATGCGGGGTGTGAGTAGCTCTGTTCTCAAGCTTCTTGTCCCCTCTTCATCGAGCCCACCCAGAAAGACGGTGGGATCTCCCAAGCGGGTTTCCTCGCCTCTGCCAGGCTGGGAACCCAACCCAGTTCGGCACGCGGGGTAACTGGGCATGCTCAGAAGCCAAGCAGGTTTGGGTCTCCACTAGGCAGCTTGAACATTACACCAGCACTCACAGGCAGCGCGAAGAGGAAGAGGAGGAGGTGGAGGAGGAGCAGAAGCAGGAGCCGGAGCAAGAGCAGGAGGAAGAAGGAGAGGAGGGGGGAAAGAGGAGGAGGAGGAGGAGGAGGAAGAGGAGGAGGAGCAGGAGGAGGAAAGAGAGGAGGAACGGGCCAGCTGTAGCCACGACCGCCACCACCAGGCAGAGGAAGGGCTCCTGGGAAGGAAAAGACCCTCCTCCCCTTTGGAGCCCCTTCTGTATGCTTCTGCAGGGGGAAAAAAAGGAATACAAGATCAAGGAGACGAAAAGAAGGGTGGAAAAGTGAGAGGGCAGACAGAAAGAGAAAGAGGGGGAAAAAGGCTTGGACAGAAAGAGTCAGGACGTGCGTGGTGCCAAGGCGCTGCTCCCCTTGGGCAGGTGGCGTGGCCGCTGCCCGGAGGCGGCATGTGACGAGCAGCCTCAGCTGCCCGCGGGCACAGCGCTTTCAGTCCCGGGGCGCATGCTGCGGGGCGAGACTGTGCCATCCCAGATTCCAGAGCTCCGGATCGGTTTGCGGAAGCGACTGCAGCGCTTTGGGGGAGACAGGCGATGACTGGGCGGGCGACTCCGCGCAGAGACGCGCGACCCTAAGGACATTCGCTCCCTGATCTCCGAGCGGCGGGGACCACGGCACGCTGGCTTGGACACCCCGGGCGCTTCGGCAGGAGCGGAGGAGCTGCGTGGGACGTTACCTGGAGCGCAGCTGCCCAGGTAAGGATTGCGCCCGCTGCCACCAGGCGCTGGGCAAGGCGGGGGACAGGAGCAGCTGGCCTGCTTTCTTTCCTTATCTCCTTGCGAAAGGAGAAAAAAGTTTTCAGTGCGGATAGGAAATGTTTTTGCCGGTGGAGTTTAAATGAAAGACTGGGGAGGGTTGCGAAAGGTTGTTCTATGGATTTGGAGTGGAGGAGGTTTGAACCTGGGATCGCGATCTGGTGCGGAACTGGAGCGGCAGGACTGAGGGTGGGGAACGCCGAAGTGGCATCCAAGTGCACGAAAAGGAACGGAGTAGAGCGAGCGGTGGCCAGAGGAAAGCCGGGTTCGACCTACCCAGCGCTCTTTCGCTTCGATTTTGTCTCCTTCCAACGCCAGATCCTAAGGCAAGAACCGCCGGACCAGCTCCGCTCGCTGTGTTTGTGCGCGCGTGAGTGGTGTTCTCAAAGAGGGCGGGTGGCAGCATTTGATTTCCTACCGTTTCTAAGAAAGCATCTGCCAACGTGGCAGCTATCATCTCAAAGAGTGAAGAGGCGAATTTTGCACTTAAAGTAACACGGGCAAAGGTACGTAGCCTGGGCGCGCGTCTCTACCGACCCAGCCAGAGTCTACACTCGCAGGGGCAGCCGCTGAAGTGCACCGAATCTCCAATGTGCAACCGTCCCCAGGCACAACCTCCTTGTGGTAGGGTTAATTTCTGTGTGTTTTTAAAAGGCGAGAGCGGGTTATACTGGAGCAATATAATCCACTTGTCTACTTGGCGATGAGATTATGGAATTGAGGTCTTGTTCTGCGTGCTTGTACGTGTGTGCGGCTCGGTTTGCAGGCGGTTGGAAGTGGAAGAGGTAATGAATTTGCGAATGGAATCCATATGGACGGATTTCAAGAATGTAAATCTTCATTTGTGTACAAGTGTATTTGAACCTGTTCCAAGTCTGTGAGGATCCATTCCCCTGCCCCGCCGCCCGGCTGATCTTGTTTGCTGTGTGAAAGGATGGCTTTCCTTGGGGGGCGGGGGTGCATTCATCAGAGAAATGCTGTTGGTAAGGACACCGGGTGCTTCACCGAGTGCTATGCACAGACCTTTTCATTCTCTTTTGGCCTCTGGGTTCCTACAGGATGGATAACGTAACCCCTTGTTTGGGCCCTCCTATTTGAAAACATTTTTTTTCCTAAAGCGTGTTTAGTAATTATGTAGTAAAATAATTTTATATTGTGAAATTATATTGCATGACCCATTCACCACTCTCCCTCTGCTTAAAATATAGCCTGTGTGTTTATTTAAGAGAGAAATCCAACATAAGAATATACATTTTTGAAAGGGAAAAGCAGAATTTAGAACAAATGCATACATATAGGCAGGATTACAGTGATAGCATAAAAAAGAAAAAGAAAAATATTAAACTACTGAGGTCTTTCTGTTTCAGATGCTATAGGACAGACCAGGTGTTGGGTGCACCCTCTTGTTACAGGAGCTGGTATTGCCAAGTATGCATGTTTACGGAACGTTCTTGCCTCTTCATTCAGTGTGTGTTCAACATGCCACAGACATGTGATTCCCACCACACACTTCTACCACTGAATAATCGGTCTTTAGAGTTTGTTTACATGCTTTGTCTCAATTAGCTTACTATATAATTAGCTATTGATGAGCTGGAAGGCATGTTATTCTTGAAGTGGTTTCCATATGGAAATATAACTTTAGCTTAAATTACTAATTTAAGAATAACTGCATTACTTATCCGATTGAGAATATTTCTGTAGGCTGGGAAGTGTAATGAGACTGAATTTAATGTGAAAGTGACAGTGGTGAAATACTGTTTTTTTAAAAACAATGAATAATTACTTCAATGGATTTCATAGTTGAAAAAGAAACTAAGATAAAAAGTAGACTTAGACAATCTTTCTAAATCTTTGACATAAATCTTTGAAAATTATTGTCAGGGAAAAGTGTAATTTTGGAAAAAGGGCAAGAGTTAGAGAAATCTTGGAGTGAAGCTGATCAAGACTTAGAGAAGGAACAGGTGTAATTATAGATGTAATTTTGCATGAAATCCACAGTAAAATGTACTTAGGAAACTCTTAAAGAATAGAGAACTAGGGGCTGGGGATTTAGCTCAACGGCACAGCACCTGCCTAGCAAGCGCAAGGTTGTGAGTTCAATTCCTGGTACTGGAAAAAACACACACAAAAAAAAAAAAAAAAAAAAAGAATAGAGAAATCTAGGAATATTCATTATGCTATTTTTCTTTGGGGGGTGAACAGTAAAATAGCACTTCAGAAATATTTATCTCTGAAGATTATAAAGCAAGAATAAAAAGCCTGTGGAGTGTATTTTCTTATTCAACCTTTATAAAGACTAGAGGTTTGTTTTCTTATTAAAAAGAAAACTTTTTGTTAGTCTAAGTTAGAGAATGCAAAAATGTGAACTTCTTTTAATCATATTTTAGCTTCTAATTACAGGCAACCTGTTGAAAGTGAACCCAGAGAAAATATGAATTTGGAAATGCTAGAATTTCTGGAACCATACTAATAAACTAAGTAGACAGAAAGTTAAAGGATATAATTAAAAGTAAAGTTGCAGCACGGATTTGTAAATTATAGAGTAATAGTTCTTTTCAGATTTTTACCTAAAATATCTTGACATTCTTTGAGCCAATGTGGTGTTCTTGCCTAATAATGTTGTTAACACTGGCAGATTTAGTTGCTTATTTTGAAATGGCCTGGACATCTTCAGGGTAACTAGTAAGAAGCTGAGTCTTGTTTGCAGTGTGGGGAAGTTTACACAGAGAGCAGCTGTGGCGTAGTGGCACTTCAGCTAGCAGATGAATGAGCTGTGAATCACAGGAAGGTGGAGACTCTGCTAGGTACTTGAGAGATACAGCTATCCTTCACTTTTGGAGTCTAATTTTATATCATGATATATTCTGACTAATAGCATTATCCTTCCAAGTGTGGTTTTGAAGGATGAGTAATTGGAAATGTTTTCTTTTATACAGTACATTTGTGAATTTAAAGTAAGTTTTTCTTATAGAAGATTAAATAAAAAGGCATATATGGCTCTAACAAAAAATTAATCAAACCCTTGTACCATGTTTATTTTGGAAGCTGGTATGCATCACAAAATATGCCTGATACTTAACTGTCGAATGTGTTGTGTTCAGCTTTTTCCCAGATGTGGTATCCGTGAAAAGCTCTACCAGACTTTTCATCTATAAAGTTCCCGTAAAAGACCTGTCCTCATTTTAATCTTTTAGATCCTCAAAGGGAAGTTCTGATTTTAGGAAGATATCATGTAATGAATTTGAAAAAAGACAGAGCCAGTCTCCTTGGAAGTTAGTTTGTGGTGCCTGGTGTGCACTGTCTTCTTCATTAAGGTCCTTGCTCATATCAAATGCAAAACTGACCTTGATCCCAAATCAATCCTCACTGTGCTAGCCCCATCCCACCTTCTATGCGGAGACTGTGAGGTGCAAAGTGTCCCTTTCACAGGTGACTGCAGCCCAGACAGCTGTTAGATTACTACATTCCTGGGTATCACAGTTCTGCATTAGTGCTGTTGTCCTCAAACCAAATATAAACACAGTTTCGTGGTAGTGAAGCTGTTTAAAATACTGAAACCTAATGTGCCTTGTGTGAAAACCGCATGCTCACCCACCACGAGCATTTCTTTCCAAAATGTATACATGGAGATGACAGTGCTTGCCCTGTTCACATCTTGGGGTGATTTTAAGGATCAATGCAGGTGGTGGTATCATTTGAACAGACTTAGTTGCACCACAAAGGTAGTGCATAATTGAGACCCACATCCTCTAAATACTCTTTGATGAAGTGGGGAGAACACAGCAACAGTGCGGTGGTGCCCTCTGGCTCAGTAGCTGGTCTCTGTATGTGCCTTTTGCCCAGGAGCTGTGGCAGTTTGTAGATTCTTTAATTTCTGGTAGGTTCTTCCCTGCACATTGGTGATTTGCTTTCTTCTACCTATTGGAACTTCTGCCCTTCTACTCCCTGAAGCCCTGAGGACACTGGCTACCTGGTATCTTCTTAGCACTCCTTTGCTGAGGGTTCAGCTGCAGCCTCCTACACAGAGACAGACCCAACACCTACTCTCCAGGACAAGAGCCCACAGAGGGGCTATTCTGAGGCACTGCCATCTTGTCACTGATTGTCCCAGCTCATCCTGAAGCCAGAATATGAATGCTTTGAGAAAATTTGTGGTGGAAAAGTTACAATTACACAGAAACTGGCAGATGCATTGTGGGCTTTGAGCCCTTGCCTTCCCCCAGTGCTCTGGATGGGACTCTGGAACAGGCCTTGATCATGTACTACCCAGGCAGGCCACAAAAGGACCAAATCTGTGTGCCTGCCCTAACCCTAGTAAGCCCTAGTGACTCCCTGGCCCCCTTGCCTCTGTGTCTCTAAACCATATCACATTTATGATTTCATAGGACCAGTTGTCTCTGATGTTTTCTATTCACATTTTCAGCACTGGAACTTAATGTTTTGCCTGGAAAAACTTTAGTAATGACCTTGACAGTCAGCCTTTCTCTTGCCAAAAAGGTCTCTCCAGGAGTGTGTCCATTCTTGTACTCTCAGCCTCTGATTCCATATGAGCAAAGCCCCAGATGTAAGGCACAGCCGTCCTCCTGACAGTGTGTCATTTCTGCCTAGAGACGTGGCTGCCAAGTTCCTCTCGACAAATAAAAAAAAAAATCTTGTCTGTCATTGTTGGCAGGCTCAAATCTCAGTCCTCCACACCCCTTCTGGCCACTGTAATTTGAGTTGCTGACTATCCACTACCAAATTAATCCTTCCTTCATTAGGTCATTTGTTCTAGCCCAGCCCTGGCCTATTTCCTGGCCCCACTGTTCCCTTGAAATCTGGCACACCAGCTGAGCCATGACATAGTCCACCTTCAGTCACCTCTACCACAGGAAGTGGAGCTAGCACAGGCAGCCCAGCTCAGACAGGATATCCCCCACCTACTGTTAGTCACATAA